TAATGAATAAGCACTAAAAATAAACTTGCACATAAATCTTTTTATAAAACAATGCTTTTGCGAAAGTTGAGAGTTCGACTGCGCCGACGGAACAGCCCCTTCCAATGGTAAATTGATACTGGTAAATGCCACGGAGACAAACCCGCCGACAGCTTGTTTTTAAGCGATTCTCGAAAAAGATGCCATGAGAGACCTTGCCAGTGGGTAGTTGCTCCTGATATCTGCTACCGATGAGACTAATTCCAAAGGTTTCTTGTCTCTTAAAAAGTGAGTAAGGAGAGGACAGGGCAAAGGGGGTTGGTGTCCTGCAAAAACTACCGATAAAGCTTCCATAAAGAGCAAACCGGCAGAGACTTTGGACAGCGCTAATTAGAACTGGCAGATTCGATACGTTAGTAATCAACGCTATGTTTTGAAGAATTTACCCTTGCTCCACGTCCTCGACGACTTCTTCGTTTTTGAAAGAATCACGTGATTCCTCGTCTTGATCTAAATGTATTCCTGTATTTGCCATGTAGTGATTATGGACAGTTTAAAAGGCTAAAAAATGAAAAAAAAAAAAAAAAATGAAAATGATGGCGTTCACACCCCACAAACACGTTGGTGAAGTAGTCCGAACACATAATAAATGCACAGAAGGCTGCCACACTAAGAATTCGGTTAATTTGCAAGTATGTCAGAAGCTGCGGCAGTCAGGGGATAACACTCCAAGCACTTTCTAATTTCCTATTTTAATCTGTAAGCACGCCTTGCATCCGCGTAACATGGTGGTGGGATTGAAGAGCTGGGGCGATCATCCTGTTTCATTACTCTTGTTACATCATGATTCCCTCCTAAGTAGGCGTGAAGCTGCCCATATAAGGCCGCTGTTTCTATATTAGAGGGTGTTGTATTGTGCTGTGCTGGGGGCCCTGACGACCAACGAAAGACGAGGGCTCTCGTAGCCCGAATGATAACCAAGGGATCGACGAGACCCGGAGTTCCGGGCCTCTAAAGCTGCCGCCCAATACACTGACGCAACATTCGACGCTCTGAGGACAGCTGAGCAGTGTTGAATGGAAAACAGTGGGGCTGTAACACGAAATCCCGCATAATTTGTATTCACTGCAGAAGTTACCAGGATAAGACATACGTAGTGGATCGAAATGCCCTTCTCCCAACTGTGTATTTATATATGTTTGCGTAAATGGTTCTGGTTTCTTTCCATCTGTATTTTTACTCGTCCTCTGTGTGTGTGTCTCTTTTTTACTTAACTTTTACTCGTTTTGCTACTCACCAAAATGCCCACTGGACGATCTGTCCCCCAATTGTGAGCTGACAGCCTGACCAGTGCTGGTGCTCGGTTTTTTCCTGAAATAAGCATATATTTTATTTGCAACCAATCATCTACAGCTGCTTCTGCAGCCAAACCCTAAGCCTAGTGTTTCAGTTCGATTTAACCTGTTCACATATCAAACGGGTCTGATTCAAACCAAGAATTATTGCTAAATCATTGGCCTACTGGTTTTCCTGTCCTTACATTGTAATCTTCAGCCCCTTTCCTATTTCTGAAGGAAGAGAGACAGACAGAAGCCGAAACAAAAATCTTCCTGGACGAAGGCACACTGAGCATTTGTTTTTGATCCGAAAACAAATTTTCTTTGAGAGCTAAGGTTGAGTACCTGTAATGGCAAAATTGCAATCTGAACGGCTCATACTTTATTGGCTTCGCTTTTTGCTCCGGAAGCACTGGAAATAACCTGAAAAAAAGAATTCACTCCTGAAATAAGAGCGATAAAATATGTCCGAATTTTGTACAGACAAATATAGCCTGGAAACCCAGAGAGATGCATAATCGTGAAACGAATTTTATACCCGCGACAGTTTTCTGAAGGCGCATCGTTCGGTGGGTACAACAACCTGTAACACTACAGGGTCAGAACTGCTCAGCGGGGGCATTCGAAAATGGCCCGATGGGCAGCACATGCAAAGAGAGAAAATCGGCTGGACAGGGTTCAGGATCGCCTCCCTCCCCGATGATTATTGCTTAGAATCAAGCTGATGGCGGTTTTCATCTTCTGGTAAGCGCCATTACGAGTTTGCAATCAGAACGAATGAATTCCTTTGCCAAATACCTCTACTACATCTTTCCTCCCCCTCTCCCTCCCCCCGCCTTCCGGCGCGGCCCTTGATAAAAAGGCATCAAAAAGTGAAGCACACGACTGGCGCCGCGAATCAAACTGCTCTTGTAATTCATTTGAAAATCTGTTTAAAAAAATCCGACAACTTATAAAAATTATTTCCACGAGTTCATCTCGTGGCTCTGAACTGAGCTAAGCGTGCTGCTGCGCCCTAACCTGAGATCGGTACTCAGAGGGAATGCTGTAGGGACGGGCGCAGATTTCATAGATTCGTCACCACCCGCCGCATTCATCGCCATTGCCTCCTTCTTCTTCATCTCTTCCTCAATGGGGCCTGCAAAAAAACCGGACTGGAAGTGAGGAATTTTTAGCTCCATATACGTTTATTATTCATTGCGGAATTAAGTTGTTGTCTGTGAGCATCATTTTCAAAGAACGATTATTAGACGGAAATTGTGTTCATTTCTTTTATGCAAAATTTACGATGATTTACACTGGAGTACATCAGGAGCATCTCAAAACTTGCTAGACGCTTTCTCTGCTGGCAGAACTATCGAACG